TATAGACAGAAAATTTTAAAAACTTTTGGTTTAGACTCTGAAGCAAAAACATCTATTTTACAAAATAACCTTGAACAGCTACAAACAGTGGTTTATTTAGAACATGAGTAGTGCTCTCCTTAACCCATTAATTTTAAAACATATGCAATACTCTGAAAGAAGGAGACTTTAGGGCACCATTTTGACTAACCAGCTGCAGAGATGGACAACCATTAGAAGTGTACTTTGTACACAGTGCCTTTTTGAATTACACAAACTTTTTAAAAGTTTCTTAATTTAAATCTCAAAAGTTCTACATTGAAAACTAATTTTTCAGGATAATTACTAAATTAAAAGTACACACCAAGAGACACATTTGAGCTAAGCATTCAAAGAAAGATGAATGCATGTCACTTTAGATTCCTATATTTGCTTGTACTGTTGTAGAATACTGTAGTTATTATTTTTAAACACTATTGGATAGGATTGGTAAGTCTCTAAAAAGAATTTTAATACATTTACACCTCTCCTGTTTATCCAGAAAAAGTAGGTTAGCTTTACCAACAACAGACCATATTATTTGTTTCCTCAGGTGTTTTAATTTTAGAAAATCTTGAAAAAAAAATCAAACTGTATCATGTATGGATTGAGACCAATACATGACAAAGAAGATTATCTTAACTCTTAGAACAAGGAAGCTTTGAAAGTTACTTTGTATTTTTATTTAAAAAAAAACACTTCATCACTGTAAGAATTCTGTTTTCTACAAAAGAGTCAGTTTGCAAAAACATAATCCTAAACAACATTTTTTTCTGTTATTATTATCTCCATCTGGATTATACCTTAAAATTAAAATGGTTTAGAAGAGTATCAAATTCTGAGAGAACACCCTTTCCTCTTTCTCCACCCTAAATCCTCAATTTTGTACTGTAGTTGGATACACTGAATTTGCTTTGTAATACATAGCTGTAAGTCAAGAAAGATACTCTACAACACTGCTTCCTTCACATTGTTATTACCAGTGTCTATAACTATTTTCAGCATTAAAATATTAATGATTAAAAAGCTCTAAATTAGGTAAAAAATGTAGAGACATGTTAAGCACTTCATACTGATGGTCACAGAAACAGCATTTGAAGAGTTCTCAGTTCCATTAACTAGTTTATTTAAGTTAGTTCTGCACATCTACCCTGGTACATTAAAACTACCAACATATGGTGAACTGCTATTAATTTATCAAATTTCTATGCATTCCAGGGTAATGTTACTTCAGTCAATCAAAATAGATCAGTTTAAGAAGTAATCAGAAAGGAACTTTAAAATCTCAATTCTTACTAACTATAAAAAAGATCTCTAAACCATAAAAGGCAGTTTTAGAAAAACATACAATATCATTCCTTTGTACAAAATGATTAATCTTTCTTTTTTAATGACCCTTTTTTCTAACCTAAAAGTAGTTAATATGATTTAATTTTCACAACTGCGAGTCACTGGAAAACTCTGAGATTTCTTCCCAAATCTTTAACCACAAGGCTATCCTAGGCAACAAGTTTCTTTGGTCACACTTGCAGAAAGGGTACAGATCATTTGCAAGCACATGCTATTCAACACAGAGGGCTATCACAACTCCTGCTCAACTTCCACAAATTCACAGAAAACATGTGCTGCAATAGCCTCCATCCAAGTTCAGTACCCCATTTTCCCTCTCAAGAACTGCATACCTGTACTCAGTTTTCAATCTAGAACTAAGTACAAAGACTTCAAAAACAAAGCAAGTGTAAAGGCAACATTGCAACTCCTCATAAAGCTATTAAATTGCCATGCTAAAAGGCGATGCTAATTTTTTAAAATAGGACATTCAAAAAGAAAATTAAAATACATAGGAGATAATAGAGACAAGCAGAGCATTTTGCATCATCACAGTTAAACATTTACAAGTTAAAAATTAAGAAAAAAAACAGTATCAGCCAGAACCCATGCTAAAAGCATGCAAGCATACACACATGCACACATACACATGACACTAGACTACAGTTAGGATGACTTTTCTTTCTTTAAATAAAGCCAGAGGCAATTCTTCCAAGTGATGCTATAACTACATAGCTAAGGTGTACTTGTAAAGAGCCCCTACTTTGGCCAATTAAAATCTACAGTTATTTTTCAGTATTTTCAAAACCTCTGGGGATGGTTTAGGAGATTTAGGCATAGAATAAACTTTTGAACAAACTCATGTGTTCCCAACAAAACTGAATGTATTCAAAGTAAAAATAATGCACTTCACAACTTTCACAAAATGTCTGTGAAATTTCCCTACACACAGGGAATTAATCTCCTCCCATAGAATTCACAGCTACCAGAACAGCACTAGATCTTAATATTAAACAACCTGAGACTATTTCATTTCTGCAACATACATTCCAAAAAACACTCTCCAAAACACAGCATTTTAATTAACACACCAAGAAAACTCTCCTGAAGACCTGCTACACACAAAAGAATTGCTTTGATCTCAACGATTCTGCACGTTTCCCCCTGTTATCCTTCCCTAATTTATCAGACTAGGGCCGATTTGATACCTTTCCATTAAAAAAAAAAACAACGAACCACCCCTCTGCTAGAGGCAGAGGTGCTGCAGAGGTGATGATAACCCTAGGAAAAGAGAAGCTGTCTCTTTAAAATGCCTTGCTATGTCCCTGATCCCACGTGGAACCAACATCAGCAGCACTTTCGCATTAACTTCAATGTGAGGCGAGATGAGGCATCATTATTTCATATAAATAAAACGAGGAGACTGCAGAATACATTCTTTGTAGGAGACAAACAGGTGAACCGAACGTGCCAGGGAAATCAGCAACCACCCGCAGAAGAGGTGCCCTGCCCCCGAGCCCTCTCTGCTCTCCCTATGGAGCATTAGCTCAACCCCACACCACTCTGAAGGATCCAGTTCAAATAGAGGAGTGAGCCACCAAGAAAACTTGAAATTCAAAGGCAACGAAAATGCACTTTATAAACCGGAAAGGTTTACTCTTTGCTTCACACATCCTAATTAGATCAGGAAAGTGACACTACAAAAGCATTACATTCCGGACCGAAAAAAAAAAAAAAAAAAAAAAAAAAAAAAAAAAAAAAAAGAAAAAAAAAAAAAAAAAAAAAAAAAAAAAAAAAAAGGGGGTAAGAAAAAGACAGAGGAAAAGAAAGGAGCCCCCATCTCCCCAAATCCCCCAAAAACACACACAAAAAATAAGCATTAAAAAAGGAAGTTATAAAGCACCACATCCAGCATTTATCTTATCTAGGATCATTCTACATTACCCCCAAGTTATACACTTTCTGCACCATCATCTCCCCCTACCTCTCTGTCCTGAAAGGGATTTTCACGTTTTCTCATTGTCGGTGGCGAGTTATAAGAGGCTTTTGCCTTTCCAAAGAATTCATCAACAAAAAAAAATAATAAATATTAACTCCTTGCTCCCTGAAACCTTAAAACGGTCTCGGGAAGACACGGGTTTTATACTGTTACCTTGAGGAAGAAAAGGGGGAGCAGCCCCGATTTTTAGGTATTTTTTGGCTTTTTTTTCTGATTTTTATTTTGTTATATGCCTCAGTTCTCCCTCCATTTTGGTTGTTTATGATACTGACAACAAGCTGTCCCTGCTCTCTCTCTCTCTCTCTCTCTCTCTCCGGATCTCTCCTGCTTTCAGTTAGCAAACCCCCCTCCCCAATGCAACACGACTCAGCACTTACTTGGGTTCACACTTTTCTCTAAACACACACCGATGGGGAAGGGAAAAGCTCCTGGGCTACTCGGAGGGGGAGAGCAGGCAAATTCGTTTCTTTATTACGAAAAAAAAAACTTTTGTCCAAAAAACGACGGGAAAGGGGGGTCGAGCGCCCCAAAGTCACTCCGGATCCCCCCAAAGAAGCAGCCGCCAGGTCCGGGGGACACCCCACGGGTAGCCGGGTCCACGGGGGAAATTTCTGTGCGAAATTTGTCCGGTTTGAGGCGGTGGGCGAATTTATATTAATTTTTTCCCTCATTTTTCGGCACCGCGGTCTCTAATGTCTTCCGCTCCCTCTCTCGCCGCTCTCGCCGCTGTCACTGCATTCACAGCACAGGCTCCGGAGAGGCGAGGAGGGGAGGGGGCGGCCGCGCCGCTCCTGCCCCTGCCCCTGCCCCGCGGCCCCGGCCCCGGGCCGCCGCGGGGGTCGGCGGCGGGCACCCCGCGCCCTCCTGCCGTCCCACGGGCAGCCCCGCCGCCTCGCCCGCTCCTCGCGAACCAGCAGAGCGCCGCGGGGAGGGAGGGGAGGAGTGGAGGAAACTCCTGAGTGAGGTTTTTCTGAAAATCATCTCTTTCTCCCTCCGAGGGAGGGGAAGGGGGGTGGGGGGGGCACCGCTCGCCTCGCCTCCCCTCCCCTGCTTTTCCCCCCGGGGGGGTCCGACGCGGGGCGGCGGGGGGCTGCGGGAGATGGGGGGAGAGGGATGGAAGCGAAGGATGGTTAACACAAACTTTTCCTCACTGCTCGCTGCTCCTCTCTGCTCTCCCCCCTCCTTCTCCTCCTCCCCCTTCATAATTTAAATAACCCTGATATTTCCCTGCTAAACCCCGGCGCTTGCCCCCCAAATCCGCAGCAGACTCACCGCGGGAGCCTCAGCATCCCCTCTGCGCCCCGTTTCCACCCTTTACAGTGTTCTCCGATTTTTCTGTAATTTTTTCCCCATATTTCGGGCTGGACGCGGCGGGCCTGGAAATTGTTTGCTTTCCCGTCTTTCCAGCAGCCATTGTAGTGTATGCGCTGCGGTGCAGCCCAGCCTGCCGCACACGCCGCGCCCACACCGCCCGCCGCCCACACGCACCGCGGGTTGGACGCCTCCCCCAGTCAGTCAGGGCCGCGGCCGCGCCCCGCCGCCGGCGCCTGCGGCCCGCGCCGCCCGCCCCGTTGGTGGAAGGAGGCGCCGCTCACGGCCGGGGCGGGCGCGGCGCCGCCGCCATTGGCGGCCCGGCCGTGCCACTCAGAGCCGCCGGGGCGTGGGCGGCGGCGGCGCGGGGCCGGGGGGAGCCGCGGGGCCGGGAGCGGGGTAGGCTGCGCCCGTACTTAAGCGCGCTGCCCGAGCCGCTGACGTCTTTCGAATTGGAGACGGGCTGCCCCGCTCCCGCCCCGGGCTCCAGCGGACACGGCCGGGGACGGAGGTGAGTGCCGCCGGCGGCGACCCGCGCTGTGCCCGTCCGCCGCCTCCCTTTCCCGGCCGGCGGAGGGAAGTCTCGCTCGACCTTCGCCGCCCGCGGGCCGGGGCGGCCCCGCTCGGGCCCGGCGGCGCGGCCGGGCGCCGCTCCCTGGCGGCAGGTAGCGCCGAGGGGAGGCGGCGGGAGCGGCCGCGGGGACCCACCCGGGGCGGGGAAGGGGTCGCCGGGCGCCTCCGGCCGGCGGAAGGCGGGGACCGGGCGGGGGGTGCCGGCATCGCCTCCGCACCCGGGCGGCCCCCGGCCCTCCCCGGGAAGCTGAATTGGGCGAGGCGGCAGCTCCGCGGTGCTCCGCGCCAGGGACCGCCGGCTGCTCCCTTCTGCCTCCGCCGCTGTAACAGCCCAAAATGCAGTAGGGACTTTTAGTACGGCCTTGGCTCCAGGGTTCAAAGTTTTGCTGAGCTGGTCTACATTGCGGCATAATTAGCGAATTTGTATCTATATGCGTGCCTTTAAAGCAGACCAAATTCTTTTCAATGGGCAGGAGCCTGTAGCAAAGTGCCCTGATTGGTTTATGAACTGAAAAAGCCCTGGGGTTAAAGAGTACCAGCAACAGTCCTGGTTCTCTGTGGTACAATTTATAACTGTTAATGTGTTAAAGCATAATTAAGAACTGTGGAATAGACAAGCCTTCGGTTGTGGTTGGGCTCTGACCTGTAATCTGGAAGCAGGAAGGGAAGCTCGTACATGCGGAGAACCTGGGAGGAGGGGGAAGCTCGCTTCCTGCCCAACTGCTCATTCAGTCGCGCAGCAGCATTTCGGCGTGACCCGCCTGCCCTTCCAGCTGATAATGTTTCAAGTCTGAAGTACTTCGGAGAGGGGGAGAGAGCAACACGCGCAGGAGCTATCAGACCTTTTGGGTAGTACTAAGAATGCTTAAGCATTTGCCTGCTCTGCATTGTGCACCTTCATTAGAACCTGAACTGCTTATTCCTTAAGTAGGTGTTCAATGGATTGTGTGCACTGTTCCTTAGACCGGGCACAGTTGCAGACTCTGGTAGCATAATCAAAACTGAAAGTGTCAGGTACAGTCTGTATAAGGAACACTGATTATGATGGCCCATCATATGACTCACAAGTATTCATTCGGAGAGTAAATAATGAAGTCAGTGTGACACTGTACACCTTGAGGCATGTCTGCTTAGGCAGTAATATCAGTGCAATCCGGAGTTATAACAGATACATGCAAACATCTAAAAATCTTGTATCTGTTGTGGTGAGTTAGGTGAGGCATTGTGCTATGATGCTTTTGCTTCCTACTTCTCCCTTCCCTTTTCCTTTCTTGAAGTCCATAATGATGCTAGTATACCTGCTTGTGTTTCCATTTGAGTTGGAAGTACCTGATCAAAAATGCACTTCCACCCATCAAAAAAGAGCATTTGCCTGGCTTGTGAAATTAACTTAAGTGCTTGATAGTTCTCAAAGGAACGTGAAAGCATTTCCTCCCCTCATGCTGTTAATTAAAGGCCCATTTGCAGAAGATGATCATTTGTAAAGCAAAGAGTACTCCAAGCACCAGGAAAGTATACATGCACAGCTTGTAAAGCCTAAGGCTTGTTTGCTAGGAATAGTTTATCAAAAGAGGAAACCCCATCTAAAACATGGTTTTCTATGAGCTACAAAGAGCAGTATTTTAATTTTTTTTTTAATCTGGTATTAAGCAAAACGGGTTTTTACTGCAGACTTGCACTAACCATTCTCTAATGTGCACAGAAACAGGACTTGGTTAAGAATTAGCACTGATTTTTTTTTTTTTTTTTTTTTTTTGAAAAAGTGAAAAACAAGATTGTGTCCTTCATTAGCAGTACTTCAATTTACTTCCTCTGTCCTGTATTTCTGATTGCATTGATTCAAGCAGTCATCTGGTCAACATTAATTTATTTTTTGTTAGATTTAATATTTGTTTGGAACACATACCTGTATTGCCATATGTGTGCTGGAGGCAATGTATAGGAAGCTGTAAAGGGAAAGAGGGTCTGCTGTTCATCTTGATGTCATCATCTTGGATCAGTGTAGAGTCTTGGCACTCAACTCTGTGTGTCTCAAGCTTACAGAGTCAGTGTCAAACTACTAAATGGTAAAAAATGTGATCCAAGCTGTTGTACACAGTGTAAGTGGGTCTGGTCCCACCTTGCGGTGAAACCAGTTTTTTATCCATTAAATATTTGCTATAGCAGCACAGGAGATAGTTGGGCACTTGTCATACCTGGGAAAGCTCAGTGACAATGCAGACATGATCCAGCTAAGGAGTAAGAACAAATCTGGAAAAGTTTACTTGTACATTCCTCCCACATGCTCTTAACTGAAGTGTCTACAGTGTGTTGGCTGTGAACAGCTTCTGTGGAGCTGTTTCTCCTACACGTGGTCACTTCCTCCATGATACACAGGCTGGTGTGAGAGCTGCTGCAGTGGCTCCATTCTCTGCAGGAATTTCAGAGAGTGAGCGCTCTTGGCAATGGGCTAAACTTGCCAGTGTTGTCTTGCTGTTACTGCTTTTGAAGTAACCCTTTGCAAAAGAAGGTTGGGTTTTGCTTAGTTTTTTTTTTTAAATATAACAAAACTGTGTGTTACTAGAAGGCCTTTATTACATCCTGAATTTCAGACTTTATCCTGAGTTACTGTTAAAAGTAGATATTTAACCTGTTTATTTTCCCTTTCTAGCCAAGGTGCGAGTTTCTGTCTAGAATGTCCAGGCATGCAAAAAAGCTTAGAGATCACGATATAAATCCATGTCTAGCGGTAAGATGATCAAATTGAGATTTGTCTGTACATTTCAGTATTAAATAATGCACTTTCTAGAGGACTGTTTTGTGGATAGCACACTGCCATTATAGCACTTCTCATTAGAAGTTTCTTAAGAGTCTGAAGATGGGAAGGGCTGAAAATCATCCATTATAATAAGCATGAAATAACAAGTTAATTCCCCATAAATAGGAGTAATACAACTGATAGCAGTCTCTTAAGTTTTCTGTCTCTAAAACCAGAGCCTGAAATCCTGGTTAGGCAAGCTTGGTTATTTTTTAAAAGTCTTTTGCGAGTTATACCAAGCATCATTGTAAACAAATACTCTGTGGACTCTGCACTTACTGTCTGAAGAGGACTAGTCTCTGCTAATGCTGAGTGAAATCACTGCTTGGAAGTACTGATGATCCTTTGTAATAGGTGTTCCTTTGCTCTCTTTGATAGTATTCTTTCATCTGAAGAGCTCACTCCTATCTTCATAGATATTCTGCGACTTGTTAAAATATTTAAACACTGAGTACAGTAACTTCCCTCAGCTCTGAAGTATATTTTCTCCTATTAAAGGAAACAGATGCCACTACAAAATGTATGAATGACAACAACTATAACAAAGATATGTGTACTGATTATTTTTTGAAGTACAGAAACTGCAGGAAATTCTGGGTAAGCACAGTAAACTTTCTAAATTTTACTCCCTGCTTTGCTTTATGTGCATTACTTCTGACATGCTGCTTTCTGAACCCTTCAAACTGAGCTAATGATGTCCGGGTAGTATCAATACATGTCGTGGAAGACTTAAGCACATGCACATCATTGTACTTCACTTGATTGTTCTGGGATTACTCTCTTAGATTGTGAGTGTTCTTGCAGTACCTGATGTTTTCCTCTGAACTTGAGTCACATATTTCTAGTAATAAGTTCTCTTTTGAACTGATGCAGTGAAAAAGTTCTGAGGCAAGGTAAGGTTATTTGGTTTCCCACTGGCTTGTATCATGTTTACTTTAACCTGATATAAAGCTTATTTGATGGTAGAGAAGTATCATGAGGATCTATGTGCAGTTAAACTTTTCTCTGCTGTTTCCTTATATCATTGAAGTAAAGAGGTTTTAGTTTAGCTTTTAAAGACTTGCACAAATTACAAAAAAACCTATTTATAGACAATTTAGACAATTGTGCATTAGTCTGGCATAGAGACTTGCACTGTATTCTGAAGCAGCAAGGTAAACTATCAGGTATCTTGAGCTAACTACTAGTACGTTTAGTCGTCAGCTAGTCAGGTTTTTAGAGTACCTGGGTCTTGGTATATCAAGCATTTTTCTATTTAAGAATCCTATTCATTCAGAGCTCAGGAGCAGAGATTCTGGGAAATCTGTTCTCATGGTCACTTTGTTCTATTTTCAGCATGGAATTATGATGCAAAGGAAGAGAAGTGGTGTGAAACCAGAGATGCCCTCAGCAGAAGAAAGAAAGAAAATCTTGGAATCAATGGGGAAGCCCTACTGACTAGAAACCTGAATTGGTTGACTGTTGTCACTGTACATATGAAGACTTAAGAGCAGCAAGTCACCATTTTATGAACTGGATTTTACAGTTGCCATATGTTGGATTAAAATAAGATCTTAAATTTTGAAATGTGTGAGCTTTCCAGGATAGAACTTCCTAAGTTTGTTTGTACTTCCTGTCATAGGAACCTGGCCTCTTTCTATTGGAAGATACACATATCAGTGCAACTTGTGTAGAAACTTTTGGAAGTAGAAACTACCTTGCTGTGAAATGCTAAATAGAAAATTAATGGGACTTGCAGAAAGTCTGTTTGAAAAGATGGGATCGGTGAGCATTGCAGTGTAGTTCTAAGTTCTGAGACTGTAGCAGGTTGAGAAACTGGTACGTGCAACATGTTCCTTGCACTCAGCTTTTCTGCTCAATAGTATGGGTTTACCATGTGTGATTTTATCACTGTTCTCACATGTTGAATTCTGTGTCCCCAGTTTTAATAAGACTTCACGAACTAAAATCCTAAATCCAACAAGCTTGTCATTGGGTCTGCCACTGCACTTGTCAGTGACAGCAGAAGCTTGCAGTAAATCAGATCTGCAAGCTTCACTAGTTAGAAGCTTAGCGATCTGAGAGAGTGTTGTTCAACTAGCTTCACTAGTTAGAAGCTTGCAGATCAGAGTTCACCAGAGAGACTGGTGAAGATAAAACTGAACTCCTCAGGTCTGAGCTGCATAGTAATTTCTGTGGATAGTAAATAGATACTTTGGTGGCGGGCAGGCAGGGGGGACTTGCAGACATGTAAACAGATCCTCTGAGTGACATGGCAGGTTTAACTATAGTACATCTATCTAAGACTCTGGACAGCTGAAACCTAGGGTTTGGAAATGCTTACTCATATGAGATTACAAAGCTCAGTTTAAACAGGTACTCTAATCTTAAATAAGGTTGATTCTTTAGCTAAATTGAACTAATAAATGTAAACATGTTGCTGTCTGTTGGAGACAGTGGCTTTTACCTTTTACCTTCTGGTGTCCTGGCTTAAAAGCTTATATCCTGTGATAAAACAGAAAAACTACTGTCATGAGCTCAGGTTCCATGTGAAATCCTTTAGTTCTTACTGGGATCAGCTTGGCAGAACTCTGGCTGACCTCATGAAGGATGGTGTAAAAATGATGTCTCTCTATTTAGACTGTTTTGGAAAGACTTCATGGCTTTATGTTTCTCCTGTCTGGCTTGTCTTGTTTCTTTCCACTGTAGGCCTATTTCTATGCTTGCTGAGTTTTTTATGGTGTTTCCTTGTTTGATCTGACTAGTAACTCCACCAAATCTGCTTTTGCTTTCTGCTCTTCCTTTGCTCTTCCTTTCTGCTCTCTATCTACATATGAGTTTTGAAATGGGTTGATCCTGCCATCTCTGGAATGAGTGTGTAACCCTATGCCTTTTGAGTATGCAATGCTCCAAGCAAAGCTGTACAGCCTTCAAGCATGTCACAAGTTCTCTTGTCAGTTCCTGGCAAGGAAGATTTACTTTCTTCCATCAAGACCATAAGATCCTTTATTTCAAATAACTTTGCCTTTACCTGAAGTGCAAACTTAGACGTTTTCCTCTTTTTGTAGTTTTTTTTTTTTTGTTGTTGTTGTTGTCTAGTTGGTGGGGGGGGTTGTTTGTTTGTGGTTTTTTGTTTGTTTTTGTTCCCTCGTGTGTGGAGCTGAAGATACTTTGATTCTAGATTCAAGGGCTTGCTCTTTCTGCCACATCCTTGCTACCTTTTAATACCCTCCTACATACCAATCTTGCCTTTTTTTTTTTTTTTTTTTTTTTTTTGCCTGTTTGGCACCAGTTCTTTTTTGACTGATTTTAATATTTTGGTCTCTTATTGCAGTGTTTTTCTAGTACCTTTGTTCTGCCTCTGGTCTAATGATGTAGTCATTTCTAATACAGCTCTTTTGAAGGTTATGTATTCTCTGTTCTCTTTCATAGTGAGAGAACTTCTTGTTTTCATTAAGCTTAACCATAATGCTTCCTTATTAACCATGCCTCTCTTTGATCTTTTTGTTCATCTGCAGATTTTGGGGAGCTGTTGTCCTCTTCCTTAGGGCTTTGTCTCTTCAGACTCTTCTGCCTTCACTGCCTTTCTGGCTTTTTGCCTCCCTTGGTGTCTAAGGGCACCTTCTCTCCTACTTGGCACAGGTTTGTCATTTGCCACCTCTGCTGTATCTTTGGACATGTTCTTTGCTCCTATGGCTTTAGCTACTATTCTAGTGCTTGCTGTTTTTCTGTTGCTGTGATCTTAAATTCTGGGCTTGCATTTTATGTGCAAGAAAAACATCATCTTGTTCTTGAAGTGGGTATGCTGATTCTTCTTTGCATAACCTTAAGTTCCTTAAAGTTATCTCATTTATCCTAGGATTTCCTTTCAGGTTTTCTTTGTGTGTAGAAATGTTCCTTCTCTTAGGTTAACTGTTGCACTTAAGTTTTTTGGTTGGTGGTGTTGTTTTTTTTTTTATTTGTTTGGGTTTTTGTTTGTTTGTTTGTTTGGTTTTTTTTTTTTGACAGTATTTGCCCTTTGCTGCTTTGTAAAGTGTAAAGAACTAAGTACTGGCCTTCAAAAAATCAGGAGGAGATGCATTACTGCTTTCAGATGTCAATGCAAGAATGTGTGATCACAGGATTTGCTAAGGCACATGTAATGCAGGAACAGTAGTCTAACATTAGACTTCTCATCATCAGTGGATGTACATAGTAAGCTCCCTGCGGGTGTTACAAAAATGAGTTTAGTGTAGAACTGAGGGCAATTTAAGCAGTGACCTTGTGGATTTAGTTCAGGTAATCAGTCATCTGTTGTAGGGAACGCTATGCCATTTATTTCCATTGTACATTCCTTACTGTTAAATAACACAAATTTATATAAAATCTTGAGGGAGCAAGGAGTTTTCTTCCTCATGTTGTAATGTCTCTCAAGAGTGATCTGTTACTTGAGTATGAGTTTTTATTATTTTTATCCCTCACTTGAGGTTGCTTTTCTTGCTTTCACTACAGAAGCTGAAGTGGTAAAGTGTGATAGCTTAAACATAGGCTCTTATGAGTTGAGATTTTTCCATTAACTTTTGTAGTGTGATTAACTACCTTTGGTTGTGAGCCAAAGATAATGGTCTTTTCCTCATACCTGAGATCTTGCATGCCACACTTCACTGAAACAGAGGTAAGTTGCAGTCTGCCACTCTTACTGGACAAAAAAAAAAAAACCTGGGCTGCATTCTTAATTTCCCTAAAGCACACCCTTGTACATAGCCCAGAAAGCGTAACACAGTGGATCAATATAATAAGACAGTGGGAAGGGACCTGTGGGTTTTGGTTTTAGGTGTTTTTTAAATACTTTTAATTACTCGCTTTGCTTGTGATACAAGGGCCAAATCTGGATAGCAGCATTAATGCTTGATAATTTTTTTGTTTGACAGCTGGATGGTGCTGTTGTACAACAGACTGAAAACAGAAGCACTCCACCCACTACTGACTCTTCCAGGCTTTTTTGGTCTCTTCCCACAGAGGTAGCAGAATTCATCCAATAGAAAGCAAAGATTGGCCCTGTCTCTACACTATCAACAGGAAAGGAGGAGAGGAGTCTAAATCATTGCTGGGAAATATGAGATTTCTGTACAGCCCGAGAAGCTTTGGAATATATTCCTTGATAGATTTTTTCACTGTAGTTATTTGATCACAACTAGGCACTGAACAGCAGCTGTAAGCTTTTTCCCAGGTCTGGGTGAATATCCTGATTCCCATCTGTACATTTGGGCCATCTCATTTTTTCTGTTACCCTACAGTGCAAGGCCTTGTATGGCTCAGAGTTTTCTGCTGCCACAATTGGGTGAGTCTATGCTCTTGAAGATGTTCAAAGGAAGCTCACAAAATTGCAGAGTATGCTGATTTGGAAAGGAACCACAAGGATAATTGGAGTCCAAGTTGTCTACCTCTAGAGTCTTGAAAATTTCTTTGTATTTAGCTGAAGCTTTTGAAAGGCAGTGAGTTGAATCTGCTGCTGCTCTGCGTCTCCTTCATGGTCTTGTAATGAAACTTTTTTTTTTTGCACACAAGTTATCAGGAATATGTGCATAGATGAGCTTTTGGTAAAACTTGGAGAACAGATAAGATGAATTTAGAGTACAAAATGTTTGAGACAACCCTTAACTTGTGTTAAAAATATCTACCTCTTTAAAGTTGGTCTTCCCAAATAGCTATGAAAGAACTATTGTGTGGAAAAACAGTACACCATTGCAGGCTTTTGTTTTCTTGGAAGAATCTGAGGCAACTGGAAGAAATAGTTCTGTAAGTATTAAAGTAATAAAAAATAAAACAAGCAGACTACTTCAAAAGATTTTAATTTTTATTGCAACCTGTTTGATTTGAAGAAGAAAAGGGAAGTACTGCATTTATATTAACTAAATGCAGTGGATCAGTTAAACTTAATTGTTTTATGACATACGTGGTACCATATATAGTAATTCAAACTACCAGATTGTGAATAAGTAATTTTTTTCTATCCTTTAGGTTTCTACTTTAATGCCTCCTATCTCAAAATCCTTTTTTGGAAGAATGGTTCTGAAAATCCTCAGTCATTACTTGCTCTTAAAAGTCCCTTGAGCTGTCTTTACCTATTTTATTTCAGTAAAATGCTATGCACTACAAACACTTCCTGATATCAAGTGACTGGCAGAACACAACAGAATTCTGCATAGGACAAAATTGAGCTAGTGTCTGTCAAATGGAAAACAATTGTGACAAGGTGATGTGTAATGACAAAAAAGATTATGCTTAAGATACTATATTCAATCAATATCTCATTTCTAAAAGCAATTCACAGCTCTAAGACCAATTTAAACTAAGAAATAGGGGCCATCAGCTCACACCTGACTTTGAAGAATCTAAAAATTTTAATTGATGATAAAAGATTGCAATTGTTTTGGCAAAAAAAGATTTTTGCAGTGTTTTTATGGAAATAGCCTGCTGGTAACATTTTATTAGTGTGTCACACATGGATCTCATTTTTTTTTTCCCTGAAACATGTGAATCCCTGAGCTGTCCTTGTCTGCATGGTTGCATGCAGCTGTTGAAGTGGTCAGTGAATGTGGTTGCATGTTACAAGTAGGGTGGCGTTTTCTCCTATTTTTATTAAATAGTTGAATTGAATTCAGTTGCTGAGTTGGAATATGTCAGTCATGCATTGCTTGCTTCAATCTAGAAGTTAGAAAAGGATGGAATGAAGCTAGCAGGACAAATCCTTAGGTGGGGGGGTACAGTATGAATTTACCACATCCTGCAATATCAGTTTTGAGTACTTTCTGGCTGTATTTTTCCTAATGCTGAATGGATTTTGAATGGATGTTACTGATAGTCTAAGAAATGCTGTGTTTCAGTATTTATCTACATGACAGGTAAACTAAAGTGGTTCTTAAGTTAAAGGTTACAGTTCAAGATGTTGGAAAAACCCCTTTGACTCTCAGATTGAAAATACAAAGGTCTTAAGGGTTCTATACCTGTTGGCTGTTGTGTTGTTTAGACATCAAAAGCCTATGGGTGACAAACTTTAATCCCAGAAGTCTCTGGTCCTTCATGTACTACTTTGCACTTTGGTGCTGACAGACTGCTTGTTCCTACTTCAACACTGCTGGGATTTATGGAAAAAAAATTTCATCAGTTTTGAGGATTGACTGAAGTCTGCTAGGGTGTAGGTGATCAAAAGAAAGTTAATTTTTCTGCAAGGCCTTGTTTGAATGGCCATCTTTACAGTCACTCCCTTCAGCAACTACTGTTCCATGTCCTTTCTTCTGTCCTCCAGCAGGTGCCTCTGTGTGATCCTCAGCATTAGTGCTAACAGACCTCTGCCCTGAAGCATGTATCCAGCTGCCCAATAGCCGGGGGAAAAGGGGATAACCGTTGTTCTTTAGCCCAGCTGGACTTCTGAGTACCTCTCTGTGGAGCTGCAGCCACCCTTGGTATCCCTGGGCTGGAAGAGAGAATTGTAGGGTGTCTGAGTAAGCAACAAAATGCAGGAAACAAATTCTGAAGTCACAGCTGCTCTCAAAGTCAGCTTTCTGTGCTTGAGAAAGGGCTTAGCTATTCAAAGCTCTGAGCACTCAGGGACTGTGATTCTTAAAACTCAAAGCTCTAAGATTGGGTCCAACTGCTACCCTGGCATTACACAGTGTGCTGTCAAACCCTGTCCCTGAGCACCACATCTACACATCTCTCCAACAGCTCCAGGAAAGATGACTCCACCACTCCTTTGGGCAGCCCCTTCCAATGGTTGACAACCCTTTTGGTGAAGAAAATTTTCAGTCTCCAATCTAAAGCTCCCATGGCAAAATATGAGGCCTTTTCCTCTTGTCCTGTTTTCTGTTACTTGGGGGAAGAGACTGACTCTTGCCTCATTACAAGCTGCTTTCAGGTTGTTGCAGAGAGCAATGAGGTCCACCATTGAGGCACCTTTTCTCAAGGCTAAACAAGCCCAGTTCCATTAGCTGCTTCTCATAAAACCTGTGGTCTGGACTCTTCTTGTAGAATGTCTTGCCTTCCTGGACTTGTTTACCCTTCAGGACTACTTCCAAAGCAATCCTATCAACCAGGCTCCTAAATAGCCCAAAACCTGTCCAATGCATGTCCAATGTGCCAGTTCTGCTGGACACATCTCCTTTCTACCCCTCCATCTGCTCCCTTCTCTGAGAATCAAAAACTCATTTCATGATTGCATGCCCCAAATGGTTTCCAACAGTCCTTTTCTGTTCACAAACAACTAGGGTGTCTTCCCTAGTTTGCTCCCTCATCAGCTGTGTTAGGAAGTTTTCTTCCACACTCCAGGGATGTCCTGGGTTGTTTACTCTCTGCTGTGCTTTATGAGGTGGTAAGCAGCTAGAAGTAGATAGAATCTAGAAGGAACGATGGTATCCACCTTCAGCTAGGCAGTCTGAATAGTCTTTAGGTGTACTCATCTATTTTGTCCTAGATTTGTTCACACTGTGAATGAGTGCTGCAAGCATATGTGTAAGAGGAGCAGAAATCCACTGAAAAAGCTCACTGAGAGGTCTTTACTTATATCAGCATCAAAAGTAGTTTTCAGGTTTCTGTCCTTTAAATTTTAATGTTCATAATCCTGAGAATCAATTATAACAATAAGTAGCACTTCAGTTCTTTTAGCATTGCTGTGAGACAGAGTTCACAAAATGCTTTCGTTTTCTGTTGTGTAGGAAAATTTCCAGCCAGGAGTTGGTAGAAAGCATCAGTATCTCTTTCTCCTCCTGTTTGGCAGCTGCAGGAAATCAGCCTGCCAGAAAAGTTGCTATAAAGCTGGATTTTAGCAAACTTGGATTTTAGCAGCTGCTTGAGTCAGGGAAATCTCATTCTCTGACCCAAATGGGTACAGATCAGACCAGTTTGTACAGGTCTGGAAATGCAGGCTGGTCATTTTTGATTGTACTGGTGAGGTCATTTGTTGCTGATTATTGCTACCAATTGGCCTTTGTAAAGCCCCAAGAAGCTGATACTGTTTCTAAAATCTGAGCAATTTGCTAACTTAAAATATTAATTGATTAATTTTGATTTGTTCACATCCTTTCTTGGGTCTAGAATTGCTGTTTACTTATAGAAAATGATTCTTTGGGCAAGTTTTTCCTCGTGATTTATTTCCAGTTCAGCTTTCACATTGCTGAATTCTGCACCAACCCAAGACAAAAAACATTTGCTGTTCATTAAGGGATTAATACTATTGATGAGATGTGCCTGACACAGGAGGTTCACAGATGTTTTTGCACAAGCCTTTAGAAGGACATTCAACATGTGGCATTTCAGGAACATATTCAGCAAATTTCTAGGTAAGGAAATTGACTTAATAAGCCTCTTTTCATCAAACTAGATGGAGCCAAATTAGATACTTTGCTGAGAAATTTTTGTTTATTAGTGCAGTATGATTTGGTGCTTACAAAGCTCTCTGGTTCAGGCTGTGTTTGTGAGGGGAAGGCGTTGGTGGTGTTGGGAGGTTTCCTGCTGGAAGAGGACAGCTCTGCTGGGAGCACAGCAGTGTTTACTGCAGAGATGCTCCTCCTCCGGGTCCTTAAGGAAGGGACACAACACATTGCTACACAACCCTTCCCCCCCCCCCCAAAAAAAAAAAAAAAAATCACTTTACATGAAAACCAAAGAAAGTTGAGCTGTTTGGTAGCCTGTTTGCTGCTTTTAATTCCATCAGTGACAAACACTAGAGAGAGGATGAAGCAGGAAATTGTCAGAATACCAGAAAGCATCCTAGGACTCTGCTTCCAGTCTCAATGATTTCTGGGGTTTCTAACAAGGGCAACCGTTCACTGTGCTACCTTTATGTGCAGAAACCCTTTTGTGGGTAGTGAATGTGTTGGCATATGCAGAGTTCTTTCAGAAGTCCATATTCAATACAGATTTCAACATCTGGACAACAAGTTACCTTTCTGTATCCCCAAGTACCACAGAAGTTGGCCATGTTTTATAATTGTGATTTCTCCAAAGAAAGATGATTGCAGGAAAAAGTTTTCTTCTATCAGAAGTTGCTTCCCTGTATCTTTACTGGAAGATATGTGTGGTATTTGGGATATGCTTTTCTTCACAGTGGATCTTGGATTAAGGATCATGTGCTTTGGATTTTGCCTAACAGGTAGCCTGTCAGATAGCTCACACATAGTGTTGACTCCCACAGTATTTATCCAAATGAACTTAAAATGACTTCTTCAAAGAAACCAAATGAAGGTTATAGCCTTTCCCACCCCAACCCCCTAGTCTAATAGCTGAAGTAGTGACATCTAATATTGGTTTGCCAGATTATTTCACGTAGTATCATGAGAGACCCTACCTAACAAAACAGTAGTCAGCATATGCTGGATAATGTATTAAGTGTAGAAGTAATAAAGTAGTGTCATGGTTGGTGAAACACAGGGCTTTTGGATGCCTTCCTCTGAGAAAAGCCATGATGAGGACCTGCCTTTGTAATAAGGTATGAAACTGTCATTCTGGCAGTCCAGTAAACTTTGTTTGACACTGGGAGAACGATACCTACCCAGAAACAGCAGGACATAATAAAGAGTTTCTGTATTACAAATCAGAGTAATATAAAAAAAGTTTTCCTCCTATACTTTCCTTAAATGTGGTGTTTATGCAGATTGTATTACTAGTACCTTTCTTCTTCAGGTAGAGAGTCTGGCTCTCTAGGTATGTCTCAGGCTATACTTATGGTGTAAAAATGCCCAGCCACTTGATACATCTTAAGTTCTGTCCTTTAACTGTTTGTATCTAAATTCTTCACAAAGACAATATTCTTCCAGCTGGGCTGGAAAAAAAAAAAAAAA